TAGGCGGATTACTGATGGCGCTACTGGGTGTGGACTTAATGAGCATTTTGTGATATGATAGTGCATTACGCTACTGGCGGCAATTTTCCCCCAGAAATTTGGTCGGCGAAAAAAAGTACGCTTTTGTCACCCCTGGCCACCTTTTTCCGTGCAGTAAAAACATTAAGAACCAAGGATGTGTGGCTCCTTTTTAATGTCACACCAACGCACTTCCCAAACTTATGAAGATGTCGGTTCGGTAATGTAAAAAAAGCATGCCTGCACGTCCAGTTGCCATCCTTTTAAATAATTTATCATGACCATTTTGTCGTTCGAGGTCTTTGTCTCGCTGTGGGTATGTAAGGCTCGCCAGACTTCAGGCCGTCTGAAGACCCAGTGTATCGGCGGGCAGCTGGCACACATCGGACCCCGCGCCCGTGTCAGGTTCTTAACGTGTCTGTCTCGCCAGCAGCGACATTGGACACAGGGATTGGTCCGCGTCCGCGGTGCGTACCGGGTTCTCAGTCAGCTCGGGGCGCCTCTAAACATCGCGGCAATCTACTCTGGCTTGCGTGCGACAAAAAATTCCTTACACTTCCCTGGAGAGTAAGGAAGGTGTGCTCTCCAAGGAAGTAGCACGTCTGAAGCCGGTGAATCGCGTGTCGGGGCGTGCGGAAACCATTTTACTGCCTACCGAATGGCGAACTCCTGACATTGGCCTACCCGGAGACTAGTCGTTTGGATTTATGGACGAATTCAAGCAGTTACTCTCTGGAAAACTTTGAATGTGACAACATGCCACCCAGTATATCATAAAAAGGAATATGTGCTTTCGAATCACGTAGCGCTGGCTCGCACTCCCGGGTGGTGGAAAGTTTGCAGTGTGGTCTGGTGAACAACTCCAAACACCCGTGGGACGCCACCGGGCCCGCGCCGCCGTCCGATTCGGGACCACATGCCAAAGTCGGGCTAGTTTAGACCTGAGCGGGCGGCTGGCGACAGGCTCACGGCTCCAGTCGACCACCACTGCCCGGAACGGCGGGCGGCGGGTCAGGCGAGTGACCGGCGTGGCTGTTCATGTGCGTTGTATCCGGGAACATGACTAAACAGTTTTGATTACGCGACGGGTGACGATTGTGTGATGCGGCGATGAGCATACAGACGAATAGATCCGCTCTCTTGGATATGGGACTGAGCGTCGGCGCTGGCCTAATGGTTGTAGTTCTGCTCGTCATTGCTCTGCGTCTCGAAGGGACCGGCAGTGTAGAGTCCTGTTGAGTGAGGCTTCTTTCGGCGAGAGACGGAACCTCTGCGATCGAGCGTCATGCTAGTCCACCGCGCGACACTACTGCGCAGATTACCGCAAATTAGGGGTTCCATGCTGTCTCGTCCAAGGACTTTCTTCTCCGAGAACTTCCCAGATGTTCGTGGGCCCTTGGCGTGTCACAGACCATGATACCTCAGTTGAGTACCGTGCTGTCTCAAAGGTTCCCGCTCCGTTTGAGCACCTGCCGCCTTTCTGAGGAATCTTTCGATGACATTAAGGCCTTGCTGGCCAGGCGAAGGCTCTTCAATGTGCAAATGCCTGATGGGTTCTTCGGCATTGTTTAATTGCAAAATGATTTCATGATCCAGTGACTGTCTCCGGGTTTTTCGACGGTTCTGGGGATCTGACCTGTTGCTGTCTCGAATGAGCAGTGCAGCTAATTCGCGACAGGAGGGGCTGACATGACCTGCGATGTAGTGGGCTTTTTACGGACGAGTCCCTGCCCCATTGACCGCACCTACGTAATGTCAGCAGGCTAACAGACACCACGAAGTCTATTAGACACAATAACTAGTGTATCAGTGAGCTGTGTTGGCTTGCGCTGGTGCCTCATACGATTGTTTCAGCTGCGTAGCGTGCATGTCCGCTCGGCCACCTGTTAGGCTTGCTACTAAATTACGGCTGCTGGGCTCTATTTGGTGCTACCCATGGTAGTATCTATGAGATTTAAACCTGGGCAAATTTTAGCGACCAATAGGTTCCTGAATCATCTTCAGTGGAATCGTGGTGAAACACTGCTTTCAAACCTGACGTGGGAGGGGAGCTAAAGCCCCATTAACCCCCCTCCCCCTTGGTTAGGAACTGTCTCGAATTAATATTTTAAGAACGGCTGATCCCTTACGATGCTTTTGTCGTTGATGGCTGAAAATAATATGAGGGTAAACATGTGCAACGTAATCAAAATGCTCGAAGATCACATTTTTCCCTTAAAGGTTTCCCATGTACGGTGTACATACCTGCAGATACATGCGTGGAACCCAAAGGGCTCTGGATACTAAAGAAGCCTTCAATAAAGTCATGAATAGCATGTTACACACCAAAGGATCATTTGCCAATTTCCAGCGCAAATTCAGGACCACGACAGACTGTACGGGAAAATTTTGAACTGGCCTATGGATCCCAGAAAATCAATGCTCAAAAACCTCTATATAGATCCTGGGTCTTTGTCAACCAGGCAAGAAAACCTGCAAGCAGGGAATCCAACGCCAAATTTATTTCTGAGGTAAGCACACGCGTACGCAAAGGTACTGCAGTTCGAAGAAGATCCCGAGGAAATATTTTTCTTGAGCAAATTTTGTCTTATTTAAAACATTCCAATTATGTGGTAAATCAGGCAGGAGTAAGCTTTATTTCAATCAGTTTGTTTAGGATGGCCTTACTCAAGAAATACAGTTTCTGATATGATTTACAAGTTTTGCTTGGAACCAAAAAAAAACAACAATTTTTGCATGTCTTCATCTCGGCTCGCAACACATCTTTGAGCGAACCAATGCATTTGTTTGACATTTCTGCGTCAACTTAATAAATACGTCAAGAGAGAATCCATTGCATATGTCGTTTTGCCAATATAAGCCCCCAGAACATGTTCCACCAGTCGTATACATCTTGTTTTCATCTGTAAGTCACGTTGCCTTTTCTCAGCACGGGCTAAACAAAAGTAACTTGGTATTCGATTCACCCATTCTGTCTGAGAATCACAATTCCCGTTCAAATGGCGCCAAGTTACTATGAAACAGATAATGGCGCCAAGTTACTCTAACACAGATAATGGAGCCAGTGTGCAAAGAATGCGTGAGGTGGCCAAACCTTGTGTTAGGATGGTTGAGCGCAGTTGAGGCTGAATGGAGATATATGAAATGATACCCAAATGTCGAACTTCCTAAGTTCAAGGCTTCGTCTTCGCATACAATGTCAGCGAAAGTTAACGTTGAAGTCATTATCCGTTTCTATACAAAACCTGAGGATTATTCTCAGCAGCAGGTGGGTAAAGGTGATCGGGAAGTTCAATAGCAGCAGCAACTTTCTGGAGTCGGTTTCATCCGCATGAAATGGTGTTGCAAAGTGTGCGATGATGACACCACGCACTGTCCACAGGCAGTTGATTAAATGCAGCGCATCTCTAAGATGCCAACAAAAATTTTTATTTACAGAATCTAACATGTAAAGATAATTAGCTATTTTCACTATCATGGTGTAAATGATGATGGTGACGATTTGGAACCTGAGGCGCATCGACCGCAAATAGTCTTACAGCGTCAATTATTGTGATATAAACACATACCTTTTATGACAACAACATAAGATCAGTGGGCACCAAGAATAAATATTTTGTTCTAAATATTAATGCTGAAGCTATGCAGTTCGTTTTAAAATGTAGGCAAATGACGTCATTAATAATAGTTTGTCTTCGACAACTATTGAATTCTGGCCACGCTCTGACTGACAATAATAAAGATGTCGCATTTCAAGAAGTGGCGTAGCTCTTGCGCCCATCTCACTGATTTGCAGTTGAAGCAAATGCGCAAGGGCATAATGCATTTCTGGAAGGAAACCCACAAAATTCCTTGAAGCTAGTATCACAGCAATCTTAATCAATACATTTACTTTTTTATTTTGACATGGCCAATATTTGCATCGCTTTCTTTTTGTACACTGTGCAATGTCCAGACACAAAGCATGGTATTTCAGCTGGGTATGCGGCTGATTCTACTTTGCTTATTTAGTACGATGTTTATTGCCCTCCATAGCCAGCATCGCACAATTGGTGTATGCAACGCACAAACCTTGGCAACTGACGCAGCACAGCTTGCTCTGCCGCCCGACACCCAGCATTCTGAGCGCGTGTAACGGCCTCTGTCTGGCGAGACAGCGCCCCCGACACCCAGGACACCAACTCTGTCCGTGGGTCACGGCCTCTGTCTGCAGAGACAGGACCCCGACACCCAGGACACCAACTCTGTCCGCGGGTCACGGCCTCTGGAGAGACAGCACCCGCGACACCCAGGACACCAACTCTATTCACTGGCCACGGCCTCTGTCTGGCGAGACAACACCCCCGACACACATGACACCAACTCTGTCCGCGGGTCGCGCCCTCTGGCGACAGCGCTCCCTACAGCTCCGTCGGCTCCCTAAAGCTTCCTCGTCCCTCGCGCTCACCAGTCCTGCCGGTCTCCTCACTTGCACCTGTCGGAAGCGCCCCGGCCCGCAGCCGGCTGACACGCGCGCCGCGGCCACAGCGGCGGCCTTATGCCGGCGGTAACCAAACGCCTCGGCACGCCGGGTCCGTCCGCGTTTTGGCCGGCAGGCAGCTGTCGATGGCCTCGGCGCGCGTGCCGGGCGCGCCGGGGCCGGCCGGCGCCCGCCCGCCGTCGGCCCGACGACAGTTAATCGTCCCGCTAACGACGCGACGTCGAGGTGCGCCTCCACCGGCGACCGGGCCCCTCTGACCGCACGCGGCCCGGTCCAGAGGTCACGACCTGGCCTGGGGATTGGCGGCGGGGGCGCTGGGGGCCGACTGGCGCCCTCGTCCGTGTCCTGTCCCCCTGACCTCCTGCTCTGGTTCCAGGCCTGGAGGCGCGGTGCAGTGGTGGTAGACGTGGTACGTGGGTGATGCGCGAGTGCTGAGTCGGCAGCGATGCGATTCTTCCGGCGTGGCTCGCCGGTGCCGACGCCGCCGCCGCCGCCGACCGGCACCGGGCCACCGCGGCTCCGGCTCCTCGCGCTCCGGGCACGCCCGGTCAGTGAGGAGCGCAGCAGTGGCTCGGCCACTACCTACCGCTCCGGGTAAGTCGAGCTTGGCCACCACCTATCCTTCCGGGTAAGTCGAGCTCGGCCACCACCTACCGCTCCGGGTAAGTCGAGCACGGCCACCACCTAACGCTGCGGGTAAGTCGAGCTCGACCACCACCTAACGCTGCGGGTAAGTCGAGCTCGACCAGTGGCCAGGACTGTGCTCAACATGCCGTTACTTAAGCCACTTACCACACCGCCGGCCACTAAATGGGCTATTTTCAAACGTTATTCTGAGAGTGGTTGGTCGGAGCGATCCCCTGTGGCCTATGGATGGTGTCTGTGGAAGCTTTCAGTGCATCGTGGTGGACCTTTGGTTGGCCAAGTTTTGAGCCATTTGACACTGGTCTGCAGGTTTCAGCTGTCTACCATGCGCGGTCAGGAACTGAAATCTCGTTTTCAAAGCCAGCTCCTCGCTGAAAACTGTTCTGCATGCAACGGATATTTTCGTCCTGCGGTTTTAGAGGTTTAAGATGGATAAGTGAGAATGGCCAATCCCCGCTGCTTTTGAACGTGTAAGTCGAGGTAGCGTTCACGTCTGATGAAATCTGCAGATAACTTTAAACTAGCCCACCAAACTGAGTTATCACGAACCAACACGAGTAGCAGGCTTTTGGTGTTGAATGAACATTCGAGGTCAAGCCGATGCTAGGACATATCTTACAAACCGTGCAGAGTAAAGCTGGGGATTATTCTGTTGTGTATCTTTGTAATCATTGCACATTGGGAGCATAACGGAAATTTCATGAGAGGTCAAACTCGTGGAAAGTCATGTCACAGCCTTAAGTGAAGCTTTGACGACTTGGACATAAATACATTGGCGTGAACCAGCTGTGGGCACACCTGGCAGGCAAACTCGAACAAAAGGTGTAGAATTCTCCAACAACTGAAAACAAAATGCGTTACCACAACGCTTTCCCTTTAATATGTACTCGTTTACGTCTGGTGTGGAATTAGCAGGCGTCCTCTCCCCTCCCCTCCCCCCCCCCCTCCCCCCCCCCCACCCCCCCCCCCCCCCCCCCCCCCCCCCCCCCTCCCCGGACCGTACTTACGGAAGGCAGCGTCATAGGCGAAACTGGTTAGGGCCGCGCGGTAAATAGCCCTCCTTCGTTCCATTCTCGTAACTTCCCGCGGTGTTTCCGGTCGTAAACTGCCTGCGACACGACTCGGCACGCCCTTCGCACGCGGTCGGGCGCCGTGCAGTAGGCGAGAAGACCGTAACAATCGGTAAATCACCGTTGAATAACTCTTCCACTGATCAATGGCGAGCCGGGCCGCCTGTGACGTCACGGCGCGTGCAGGCGGCGGCGATTGGGAGCCGGCGGGCGCCGCGACAATCTGTTGTGCGCGCTGTTTGTGTGACATTTAACCTCTGGCTGAACGAGCTGGCACGCCCCAGCCGCGCCGGCGACGCAAGCGGAGCGCGACGCCCTGTCATTAATTAGAGCCTGCGGCGCTGGCACTGCCTCGGGGCCGGCCTGTCGGCCCGTGCCGGACAGGCCGGCCATCCCCGGCCTCAGCCGGCCGCCCCGAGGCGCCTGACCTGGGATGCCCGTCGCCTGTGTCAAGCGAGGTCGGCGGCGGAGGTCAGTGCCGTGTTCAGGGTGGGGCTGCGGGGAGCCGGGGCTCTGCGACGCCACACGTTGCGCCAGCCCTGCCCTCGCCGCAGGGCCGGCGGGCGTGGGACGCAGCGGGGCGGGGCGGGGCGGGGCGGGGCGGGCGGGGCGACACCGTGGGTGGCAGGGGTATGCAACCAAACTGCAGCCGGATCTAGCAGCTAAGATCTGTCGACAGCGGTGTGCTCCTATACCGTATGACCTAATGAAGCCCCCGAAACCACATCCCTGGGCTCCAGGCCACGTCATGCGCCTAAAATCACGCTGATCATTGTGTCTGGCTATACCCTCCCCTCCGCACCCTGAGGAGAGCTCAGTCCCCTCTGTCTGATCGACTTGAGCAAATGCTTCGACGTAAATTATTACTGCTGACCAAATAACAGCCGCATTAAGACGACACTGAATGATTCCCTCTGACCTCAGTAGCCATAGCAAAAGCGCCCCAACGCCAATCATCCCTCTTCTGAGCGCAAGTTCCTGCCTCGGCCCTGTAGAACACCACTGGTGTTTCCCAAGGCTCTGGCCTTGGGTCATTGCTTTACAGCGCGTTCGCCAGCAATGTGAATTTGGCCTACTTTGCGCGCGATGCTTATCTCGTCCAATGCACCGATGCTGCGTAGATTTGGGTGTTCGGCCGAAAATATGTTACATATGTCATCAAGACATCTATAGATGCATTGGCTGGTTGCTTGGAACTCTCGCTCCCTCTCCGCTGCACGTATGGTTCAGAGCCAAATATTTAAAGTCAACGCAGCCAAAATTCAGTCGGTCGTGTTTGGCAGCCGGCACAACTTCCGCAGTACACTTTCAGTTGAGATCAGTTTCCGTGGAGAAGATATCAGCCCTTGAAGGTACGGTGCGGAACCCGGGTGTAATTTTTGACCCGTGCCTATTTGTGACGTCCATGTAGAGCTCGTTTCACGAGAACACTTCAGATCACCGATCGGACTCCGTCCCATTCGATGTTGTCTTCCTCTGTGTGACTCTCGGAGACTCGATGTGAGTCCGTTCTGTGCGTCATCGCATCGGGCCTGATTCCAGACGCAGTCAGCTGTCGCACTCGTCGCTGAGCCGAAACAACAGCAACCAGAGCGCCGGGACCGGCACATTCAGCCTCAGCACCAGCTGCCAGCAGGTCCGGGGTAAGCAGGCAGATTCGTCGCCCTGGGGGTAGACCTGTAAAGCATCCTCCGCCTTTGTTGTCGCTGATCGCAGGCTGCCGTCAAAGACCATCCCATCGTGGCGTACAGCGGGGGTGTAACGTCATCGACAAGGGACATTTACGACATCGCTTCTGTGCTGTCATGATCGAATCCCAGGCCGATATCAAAGTTATGATGGCGTGGTTTTACCTGCGGCACGTGAACCGCTATCATAGGCTAACGTGTTCATTAGCGCCTAGGGTACGGAAAGTTAAACATGTGGAATGCAGTACGTATGTGGACTGAATAGCGACTGAGAGTGGGTTTGGTTTTTTTAAAAATCCGTCCTTCCCGGTTTCTCCACAGGGCCGCGCTCGCTTTGATGGCTTCGTCTCCATTCAGTGGCAGCAATTTCCGTGTCAGAATCCCCGTTAAGCTGGAGGCGGCTCCCAGCCATCTCATAATCTATCTGTAGGATATAGGAAAGCGTTTTCAAATGATTGAATCTCGCAAGTCACCGATATGGGAAATAACTTGTCATCCTCCCATGCGTTTCTTCACAACGATGGGAAAACTTCAAGAGCCAATTCTTCGGAAAGAAGAACTGTTCCCCAATGTCCGACTTCGGGTTGTGATGGGATAGTTGTAAGGAGATATTGCTCCATTGCATCGTCCAATAAACCCACTTCCTGGTGTCGATCAAGAACACATCATATCCTTGTCCCAAAGGCGGCACCACATGGACCAGGTCCGGCGAAAACAGTGAAAATGTACTGCACCATAACCTACAACGCGGAAATGACGTTCGTCGCGGCTTGTGTCCTCGAGAATGAGCCAGCTTTCTCTGCCAACAACATTTGGCCAATCCGCGAGACGGCGAGGCGCGGGCGTTCACCGCGCCGGGGCGTCACGACGCGACGGTGGCGCCGATGTTTGGCGACTCGTCCGCCTCCCCGCGCCGCCGCTGCCGGCGCTGGTGGGACGCGCCACCGGTAGAGCTGCCGTCCGTCAGCCCGCGGGCCCGCAAAATACGGGAAAACCGGCGCCCAGCGTGACTTGCGGGGACAATGTGCGAGTTGCGGTGTGTTCTCATAACTGAAGGTGTCGATATGATTTGGTGTTGTATTAAGGAGCAACAATTTGTTGCGCACGATCCGTACAATTTTCCACAAGAAATCGCATCTTTTTATATCAAAATGCATGCATTGATCAGTAAGCTGCAACGCATTATGCACTGTTTACTTGCCAGCCAACTATTAAACCCCCTTCTTGCCATGTGTATTACCGCCATTTTAGCAGGCTATGTATGTGCAGCTTACAATCACTGTTTATCACTGCATAACTGTTTATCTGTTTATCACTGCTTAACTGTTTATCTGTTTATCACTGCCTAATTGCTTATCGGTTTATTACTGCTAAAAGTTACCTTTGGTTAAATGAATTTCTTATTTCCGCTTCAAAAAATAAAGGTATGGTAAGCAATGTATGGGATGACCAGAGACACTAGGACAATGAACTAAGAAATAGTTAATGAAAAATAACGTGCACCAGCTGGCAGCAATGACCAAAATGTCTGTGCGGTAAATAGATATACTGTAATCACTCCGGCTGATACCAGGGGTGTAGGTACGCAGTTACACAGAAATAGGTCTTCTAGCAATATGGGCTCATGCGTATTGTTCAGGATTGTATTGGTGTTCACCAAAATGATGAAAAGACGAAAACCAATAAATAGCTGCGTCTTCAAATAAGCTTCATTGTTTTGCCGTTGTTTAAAACAAGCTCTGAAATGAGCCTGAAAATCTGCCATCATTTGAGAGTGCTTCAAACGATGGAATAATTTTGAAATCTTCTATCCTGAATATACATACTTACTCGTGATTTTCTCCTACTTGGCCTTTAAACTCCCGCGTATGCAGAACAGAGGAAGGTTTATGTCATGCTCGTGTGGCCGCCATTTCACCGTGTAAGTGATTCGGCGCCTCGGATGCATTGAGGAGTTGCGGCCTGTAGATGATGAGGGTCGCAATCTTGGGCCCCAACGCACAGCCATTTTGCACGACAAAACTACGGAGTTGGACGGGTTTTCAAAGTCGGCTTCGGCGCGGGCTGGTATTCAGAGTGTGAAAGCTGGCACCTCCAGGTACGAGCCGTGCCGTCTCGCCAGTTGCTGTTTACAGGGGCAGCGGGGGACCGGCCGAAAAGACGCCCCACCTCTGAGAGGGCCACTTTGGTGGCGTTGTTTCAGTCGACGCCAGCCTGATCCCCCGCCGTCCGCACAACAGAGCCGTCACCATGGAGACGGGTCGCTGTCAGCCGCCACCGGGCTGCTCCAGACGGCACCTCTGCTGCCGGTGCTACGGCGACGGCCGCTGACGGCCGCGGCACACCCGACTCACGTGGGCACGTGGACATTTGCCACAGGCGCTCTTATGCATGTTGGATGTTCATGGCGGGCACGTGGACAGCACACACCAACGTCGGACACCAGGGAAGGACACTGCCCGGTCCAGTCGGCCACACAGCACCCCAGCGTGTCTCGTCAGCGGACGCGGCGGGCACGTGGACAGCACACACCAACGTCGGACACCAGGGAAGGACACTGCCCGGTCCAGTCGGCCACACAGCACCCCAGCGTGTCTCGTCAGCGGACGCGGCGGGCACGTGGGCAGCACACACCAATGTCGGACACCAGGGAAGGACACTGCCCGGTCCAGTCGGCCACACAGCACCCCAGCGTGTCTCGTCAGCGGACGCGGCGGGCACGTGGACAGCACACACCAATGTCGGACGCCAGAGAAGGACACTGCCCGGTCCAGTCGGCCACACAGCACCCCAGCGTGTCTCGTCAGCGGACGCGGCGGGCACGTGGGCAGCACACACCAATGTCGGACACCAGGGAAGGACACTGCCCAGTCCAGTCGGCCACACAGCACCCCAGCTTGTCTCGTTAGCGGACGCGGCGCGCGCGTGGACACGGCCGGCAGTAGCAGGCCGTCGCAGCGACCGCGGGCAGCATGTGATCACCTGGCAAGGGCGGAGGAGCTCGGGAGGTGGACGGTGCCGGCGGCGCGGGCTCGAGCCCCGGGCGCTCCGGCGTCGCCTGACGCTCATTGTGCTGCAGCGGCGCCCCAGTCTGGTCAGGCATGATCGATGCTTGATGCTCGGTATGCAAATGACGGTGCTGATCTGTACAGGTGCAAAGTGGATGACGTGCGAGAATTACGGCACCTGTTAGCGATTTCTGTCAGGCTTTTATTATTATTCACAGAGCGTATCGGTTCTCTCTCTCTCTCTCTCTCTCTCTCTCTCTCTCTCTCTCTCTCTCTCTCTCTCTCTCTCTCTCTCTCTCTCTCTCTCTCTCTCTCTCTCTCTCTCTCTCTCTCTCTCTCTCTCTCTCTCTCTCTCTCTCTCTCTCTCTCTCTCTCTCTCTCTCTCTCTCTCTCTCTCTCTCTCTCTCTCTCTCTCTCTCTCTCTCTCTCTCTCTCTCTCTGGCTCTCTCTCTCTCTCTCTCTCTCTCAAGTTAAGACATTTGTTCTTCCGTATCTTCATGACGGCGAGGTGGGCACGGTGTGGCGGACAACGGCGTTGGCTGAAAGCGCGGCTTGAAAGCCAACGGCGTAGGCAAGATGGGCGCTGCCGGCAGTTTGCCCGAGGATAGGAAGGCATTGGCCGGTTGTTTACACTATTTATGCCTGCCACTAGTTGCCTGTTCATCTTGTGTAGAGAGGTCATACAGAACTTGGACTCCCCATCGGGCTGCCGCCAGCCTGGCCAGACTCCGCCTCAAGATGCTGGAAGTTGTGAGCGATGTCGGCGTTCTCGAACCCAGCACTCGGTTTCAGAACCCTCTTCAGACTGCTGACAGCTGGTCCGATCGGCTCGGACGGGTGATAGCTTCTATGCAAGATCATCGTGACACGAGTCTTTTAACCCTTGTTTGCTTTTAATCACATCCATGAGTTTGTTTGCTGGCTACCGTAGAAGCTGATGATGACTGAGACCAGTGATGGGCGATGATGAACGCGACCATGACCGGACGCGTCATTCGGCCGTCTGCAGCAGCTCACTGACAGCAGATTTGGCCGCATGATGTGGCTTAGAACTAACAGTTTAAACATGCCTTGAATGCCAAACCGTCTGCTCTTTGTTCATACAATTCTCAGCACCAACGTGCTAATGCTGCGCCCTATTGACCGCGGCCACCGTGCGGCTGTGCCTGGTTTTGGTTGGATTACATGGTCACAGCCGACGACCGCGCGGAACGGTCACGGGTCAGACTGACAAGGCGGAGTTCGCCAGCAGAAAAGTCGCCGACTCTGTTAGACACGCACAGCTGTGCCTAAACACGCGAGGTTAGCGGTGAAGGCGCAGTTTGTCGGGCAGGCTGAGACGGCGCCGCTGTAAATCCACCCCCTGCCGGCCATCCGTGCGGGCCAGTGATCCGATGAGGGTGGAAAACCTCGTGCTCTAAGACGTCCGTCTGCGTGGACCGGCCGCCGAGGCGGGGGTTGGTGGATCGGGTGTCGTCTGGAGACGGCCGTCTTGGCGATCCGTCCCCGCGGCGGCCGTGCCCCGCTCCCCGGGGGCGGTCCGTGCCTCGCTCCCCGGGGGCGGTCCGTGCCCCGCTCCCCGGCGGCGGCCGTGCCCCGCTCCCAGGGGGTGGTCCGTGCCTCGCTCCCCGGGGGCGGTCCGTGCCCCGCTCCCCGGGGGCGGTCCGTGCCTCCGCTCCCCGGGGGCGGTCCGTGCCTCGCTCCCGGCCATGGCGGAGCGGTCCGTGCCTCGCTCCCGGCCGTGGCGGAGCGGTCCGTGCCCCGCTCCCCGGGGGCGGTCCGTGCCTCGCTCCCCGGGGGCGGTCCGTGCCTCGCTCCCCGGGGGCGGTCCGTGCCCCGCTCCCCGCGGCGGCCGTTCCCCGCTCCCCGGGGGCGGTCCGTGCCTCGCTCCTCGGGGGCGGTCCGTGCCCCCGCTCCCCGCGGCGGCCGTGCCCCGCTCCCCGGGGG